GAGTCCGGCTCGGAGAGCTGCGCTATAGACTTACCCCAAGAGGCCTGAGGATAGTAGTGCAGGCTAGGAGAGTTAGCCGGTGGTGCAGGGCCAGGGAAGCAGAGAGAGGTGGGGGCGGGCCCCGCCTAGAGGCAGTGCTCCTGGGGCCCAAGGAAGGCACCAAGCCGGTCGGGGTGAACAGGGTCAGGAATCAGCAGTGGCTCCCCAGGTGTCTGGGGCCCCAAGACTAGGAATGGCACAGGGCCCAAGCTAGGAGTAGAGAACAGCGGGGGAGATGGAGGGTGAGCATGGCTGGCGGAGTCAAGGCACTGAGGGTTGCACGGTAGGCTTACCCCCGGAGAGGCCTGAGGGCGGGAGAGCGGGCCAGGAGAGTTAGCCAGTGGTACAGTCGGGGAAGCAGGGAGAGGTGAGGGCGGGGCCAGGTCCTGTGACGGGACCCAAGACCAGGAATGGCGCAGGGCCCAAACCAGGAGCAGAGAACAGCAGCAGAGATGGAAGGGCGAATGAGGCCGGGGGAGTCAATGCATCGGAGGGCTCCGCGATGGACCCACCCCGAGAGGCCTGAGTATAGGGTAGCCTCTCACATACTTTTTACAGTAACAAAAAGTTAATACTATGGTAAAACATTCATCCTTTTTTTTGTAAATTTTTTAATTGAAGTTTTGTATATTTCATACAGAACATCTTAATTGTCTTTATACCTCCTTCCCCACTGGTACCCTCCCATAGCACCCCTACTAAAATTCATGCATTCTATCATTCGTGTTAAGGCCTATTGCATCAAGTTAGTGTCCCCAGACGTCCCTCAGTGCAAACTCATCCACTGAGGTCTAGTCAGCCTATCCAGAGTCCCTCCCCTTAGGAAGATCAGCTCTTCCTCACCCAGAAGTAATCCGCTGCCAATGATTCTTTGACTGAGATTGGGGCCTGCTAAAACATTCATCTCTTTATACTTGCCTCTTGAATATTCTAATTAGTAATTCTGTCCTTTTTGGCTGAGAAGTCTTTGTTTGGCAACACAGTAGAGTGGGCATCTGTTTTTTTGGTTTGGGTTTTAAAAAACTGTTGTTGTTTTGAGAATGGTACAGCATCTCCCATTTAGGGAAATTGCTCAACAAATGTACATGGGTCTGGTGGAGTTGTTCTTGTCAGCACTCTGGGCTGTGCTCTCTCTCTTCTAGCATCTGCTTTAGGACACACACACACCAGGATGGAAGGCCATGGGTACCACACACAAGGGCGGGATCTTTGGAAAACAGATATCACTCCTGTTGCTGACTTTCTTGTTACTGCCATCATTTCCGCTTTTCTGAAACAGTTGCTCAAGCCTTGGCCTTCCTTATTTCCAATAATGTTTTCTTCCTGTTTATATTAGAGCTTACTTCTGTTGCTCAAAACCCAAAAATATTAACAAGTAGATTTTCAATTATGTCATGGAGGAAAGATGTTATTTGAAACTAAAACCACAAAGTTGCTTTTGAGGTCATACATCTTATTAAAAAGATGCATATCAGGGGCTGGAGAGATGGCTCAGCTGTTAAGAGCACTGGCTGCTCTTGCAGAGGAGCCGGGTTCAATTCCCAGTACCTACATGGCGACTATGAAACTGTCCTTAACTCCAGTTCCAGGGGAATCTGAAGGCCTCTTCTGACCTCCGCGGCACTGCATGACACGGGTGCACTCACATACGTGCAGGCAATACACTGGTACACAGGGATGGGTTGAGACAAGGGCTCAATTGCTCTGCCTAAGAAAGTGCTAGAAGTTTCTAAAAGATAAGAGCCAAGCAATACAGGAAACTAGAACTTAAAGAGCAAGAGGCCAAAGGAATTCTGAGAATGAAAACCATGTATTTAATATGAAGTCACTTGAATTATTTCAGTATAAGCCCAGGATCCATTTTTCTTAGAGGATGTCTGCCTTATACATTTCTATATAATTGGTAGGATTATATGTGTATTGCATGTGTGTACAATTAGGGAAGACGGGTTAGGATCCGTTTGGCATGATGTGGTATGGATCCATACATAAACCATAGTAGTAGAGTACCTTCATTCCCCAAGAGACCAGGGAGCACACAGACTTGTTGCCAGGTGTGGCTTCCCTTTAGTCTTTTAGCAAACATCTGGCTTGCATGGTTATATATTCACAGCCATCACATGTATGCTTTGATGGTGCAGAAAAGAAATGAGAAAACAAATGGGAAAGAAAACACTCTTCTTCTAGAGCAGAGATTTGAAAATTGTGGCAGTTCCTGTAAATAAAAGCTTACTGCAACACAGCTGCCCACTCTTTTATGTTTCTTGTGGCTGTTTCACCCTGTGAGGGCAGAACTGGTTTTTCCAAAGAAACCACATGAAGCACGAAAACTCATGTATTTATCCTCCAGGCCTTTAAGAAAAAGCTTGCCTATTTCTGCTCCAGAGGCCAAAAGCAACCTCTCAATAGCCTATCAAGTTATCTCACCCATGGGTTAGACAACACAGAAATGGTATCCCTGGCTCAAGGCACAAAGAAAAAGAAACCTACAGTTGGCTATGACCTTGAGTGAGCTCATAATGCTTATTTTGTGAGAAAAAAAATCTAAAGCACTTACAGGACTGCCTTTATAAAGGTCTTTGGTTTGTGGACGTCTTGTCTCCTTTAGAAACAGCATGGTATAGTGATGAGTCTGGATTAGTACTGCATAGAACCCCTTACCCATGGGTTCCCTTTCTACTTTTTCAGTTACTGGTACTTAACTTTGGTCCAAAATCAAATGGAAAATTTCAGAAACAAGTAATTCATATGTTTTGTGTGTCTGAGTAACATAGAAAAATCATGAGTACTGGCATCATGAAAAATCACAAATCATCCATTTGTCCAGTGTATCAATCAGTATTGTATACACTACCAGCCCATTAGCCACTTAAAAGTTGTGTAGATTATCAGACGGACTGTTGTCATATTACAGCCTTTGTGTTTAAGCACACCTGATGTAGTGGCCTGTCTCTATGTCACCATGCCGACATCATTTGTTTTACTTCATCTCATCACACAGATGTTTTCTCATAGGATTTCATCATGATTATAGTATAGAATATTGAGAGATGTAGTCTTTTTCTCTATTACATTTATAAACCTTGGAGGGGGGATAATCATATGTAGGGTTTGGGGATTTTTTGTTTTGTTTTTGGTATTTGTTTTGTTTTTGAGACAGGATCTCCCCATAGTCCCAGCTGGCCTGGAAGTTGTTATATAGACCCAGTTGGCCTTGAGCTCACAGATATTCACCTGCTTCTGCCTCCCAAGTGGTAGGATTAAAGATGTCTGCCACCATACCTGGGTTCATAGCAAAATCCACTCAGGCTGCATCCTGTCCCTCCAGTCTCCCAAAGGAAGAGAAGAACCATCATCAATGGCAAGCGGAAGTTGCGGCAAAGCAACTCCAAGAGCTGGTTTCATGCTCAGGAGAGAATGTTTCATCTCTTCCTTATGGTTTCTGGAACCCTACACAGTCTGAGAAACATCTCTAGCAATGAACTATAGAAATGATTCCCTGAAAGTACAATCTTTTTGTTTTTTTAAAACACACTGTTTAGTGGAGCTGAACATATTTCATCAGGAATATTAAAAGTTAGAAGTTAAAGGCAGGGGCTGGAGAGATGACTCAGTGGTTAGGAGAACTGGCTGCTCTTACAAAGGACTCAGGTTCAATTCCCAGTACCCACATAGCGGCTAACAACTGTCTGTAACTCCAGTTCCAGGGGACTCAATACCCTCTTCTGTCCTCCATGGGCACTGCATGACACGGGTGCAAATATACTCATACACATAAAAATTAAAATTACAAAGAAAAGTTAAAGGCACATTGAAAAGAAATTCTTCTTTTAATTCAATCTTAAATGAATTTACTTTACATAAGCGCATGCCTGTATTCCCAGCACTTGGGAGGCAGAGGCAGGTGGAGCTCTGTGAGTTCAAGGCCAGCCTGGTCTACATAGTGAGTTCCAGGCCAGCTGGGGCTACAGGGAGACCCTGTTTCAAAAAGACTAAAAAAAAAAAAAAAAAATTCTGAAAAATTATGTTGAAATAATCATTTCCAATAATTTCTGAGAAACACAAAGCATTTTCCCATACAGAGGCATTGTCAAAATACAAGACCGTTCTCTCTGAGAGGGGCCTGAAGTTCAACAAATGACCAGTCCAGCTTTGGCCTATCACAAATGCAAAAAATACAACCATTTTAAACAAACACCTGTAATTTAAAATATGATTCCCAGTTATAGCAAAAGGCCATACTAATTACAGAAGGCACTTGGTGGAATCCGAAGTACACGTTAAGAAAAAACAAGTATGGTAGAACTAAAATATATACTATAACTAGGTAATTTGAAAATTTCAAATGCTACTATAAAAAGGGGTGGCGAAACTCTTTTAAAAGTTTCCCGAATGTTCTAAACCTCTGGAGTCCTCAACTGGGGCAGACAGTGATTCGTCAAAACGCAGGTCCCAGGCCAGGAGCATAACCCCACATCTCAGTAACGCTCCTTCAAGGAAACACATTCCATCCATTCTCCTTGAGGGGCACTTTTCCGGTTGTTGGACTGTAGACTATTGCCAGTACTCCGATTTATTTAATCAGTAACTGTAGCTATTCCTTTGGGTTCATTCTTGGTTTGGTGCTCAGCATGATCTTTGAGGCATGCTGTTCTCTGGAGCACGGATTGCCGTCAAGTCGACTCTCCCGTTCCCGTTCTGCCTGCAACCGTTGCCTCCCTCTGCTCAAGGCTTCTAGATACCACTGCTTCTCCTTCAACCGCTGCTGCTGCTTTTCCAGATGGCTTCTTGCAGCCTCCAGCTTGTGGTATTCCTGACTCAGTTGCTGCAATTCCTTCCGTAGCTGCTGGTTCTCCCTGTGGAGGCCACTGCAGAACTCAAAGTGAGCCTGCTTGGCTGCCCGCGCCAAGGCCTGGTACTTCCCAGTAAGCTCCCTGGTGTCGACCCGCCCCAGCTCCATGCTGTGTAAGTCTTCCAGTTGTTCCTCCATCAGAGCCTTCTCTCGCAGGAACTGCAAGTGTGCCTCCTGGTCCTTGGCAGCGGTCTCACCTCGGATTTTCTCTTTCTCCTTCTCTAAGGCCTGCATTTTCTTGTCCTGCCTCTCCTTTACGATGTAAACGGGCTTCAGTGTCTGCAACCGCTGCTTCAACTCGGACAGGGTCTTTCCGCCCCGGGAGAGCTGGGCTTGAAGGTCTGCCCTTCCCTGGCTGTATCTGGCGGCTAATTCCTGTCTCCTCTGTTGCATCTCTTCACATTCTTGGAAACGCCGCTGCCACAGCTCCTCCTGTCTCTGTCTACACTGCGCGTTCCTCCTGCACAGGTGTTCCATGAAAAGCTGGTTTTCAGCCTGAACGCGGGATTTCTCCTCCAGCAGCTGCCAGCCGTCCTCCAGCAGCCCTTCCCGCCGGCTGTGCGTTTCTTCTATTTGCCGAGTCAGCTCCTCCAGAGCCAGCACCGTCTTCCTTTTCACCCTTTTCTCCAACCTCGTTAGCAAGCCTGGCTTGAAATATGTATTTAGAATAGTAAGATAAGGTGTGGGCGGAGGGGAAGTTCCGGGGCTCAGGGCAAACATGCTCCCCAAATCCAAGCACCCACGAAGGTAGATCTGTGCAGGTCAGAGAGGGTGACTGCCCGGGAGCAAGCGCTGGTGGCAGGCGTCACTCCAGGGCACAGCGTCCCAGAGCGGAAGTTCCCGTGGTTTCTCCCTCCGGTGGTCAAGGGGACGTGGCTGTGCCCAGCTGGCCAGGAGGTGGCACTCTGCATGGGAACCACAGCCCTGAGCAGCAGCAGGCCGCGGATGTCCAGCCTGAGACTGGCGGGCTCTCTGGGACTCACAGGGAGCCCAGGGCTCCTAGGTCCAAGTCCTGTCCTGGGGACCAGGGCTCTGCCCCTCCCAGTCCCTACCCGAGGGGTCAGCGCTCTCTTCTGGACTCTCACAACCTTCCTTTACCTGCTCCGCACCTGAGTTCCCAGCACCATCTCTAGTTGGCCTAGCCTCGGCAACCCGCCCTTCACCCTTGCACTGGGTTGGGTCCAGTGGATGGATGGGCTCTCCAGACAATTGCAGGTGGAAGACCGCAGAGGTCTCCTTAGCCAGGACTCTATGGTGCCGTGGGCAGGTCTGGAGGAAAGAAGAGAGCATCCGTGACTGGGGGTGGGTTATTTGAGACTCGAGTTTCCAGTGTCTGTTGCTGATGAGAATGGAGGCACCCAGAAAACTGCCTTTGTATATGCGAAGTACAGGGCTTGGGAGAGACTGACTGTGGTGGGTGGAAGGCCAGGGGAAAGGGAATGAGATCTCTGGAGAACCGGAGAAGTCAAGTCATGCCCTGCTTAGGCACAGACTTGCCATCAACTCTACTGCCTTCAAGGCACAGTCTCTTAAGATGTATGTGCATCCTCAGTGCCTGCTTGGTTCCAATGATCACATTATACTGATACTGTGTCCTGATGACAGAATTGCCAACTTCTTGAAAGCTGGGGACTGTCAGTAACTCTAGAACCCAATACAGCGCCTTAGACATGTTTTTGGTAGAGTTGCCAAAGAATTATTTCTTACACTATTATGGATGCAGGAAAAATAAAGTTGATCAGGTTCCCATGTTCATGGAGTTCGTGTTTTAGTGAGACAGAAAGAAAATCCCAGACACATTAAAAAATCAAGCAAAAAAAGTAATGAAGAGTAGGGAGGCTTGCTGGATGGGAGACTGTGTTTGTTTTCTCACCGCTGTGACAGAATACCAGACACAAACTACTTAATGGGCAGGAAGAATTTATTTTCCCTCATAGTTTTAGAGGTTTCTGTCTACTGTAGCTGAAATGGCTTGGTAAAACAGTTTACATCATGGTGTCTTGAAGTAGAGAATCATCAATAAATCTTGCATTGCTATGGTTATAGTTATTCTATTTTAATATTAATCTCTTACTAGCCCTAATTTAATTTAAACTTTATCATAGGTTTTAAAAAAAAACTGTATACACAGAGTTTATACCATCTTTAGTTGCATACATCTATTGGGCTGTCTTGAAATGTATCCCCTGATCTCCCAGACCTCTGGTAACTTGCTCCTATGAACTTACAGCAATGGTGACAGCATGCATAAGACCCATGCAAATGAAATCAGACATAAATCCAGCACAAAACTGGGGAAATGGACAGCAGGCCCCAATCTTAGCTGAGGAATTATTGCCAGGTGGTCACTGCTTGGTAAGGGAATGCTGATCTTCTTTAGAGTGATGCTAGATAGACTGATTAGACTCCAGTGGATGAACTTGCACTGAGGGACATCTAGGTATACAAACTTGACACAATAGGCCTTAACATATATAGCAGAGTGCATGAAACCCTTGTGGGCAAGTTATGGGGGGAGGAGAGTGTAGATAGGGGAGGGGGCCTAAATATGGTTAAGATGTATTAAATGCACAAAAATAAAATAAAACTAAACATTGGAAAAGAAGAGAAATGTATTTGCTTGCTGATAAATATGCCTGTTTTCTTATCTATCAAATGAGTAGACTGACACTTATTTTATAGGGCAGCTCTGAAGATTAAATGATATAATGTTCATAGTGTGCTTAGAATTTTGGAGATTCTCAGTTGGTGTCACCATGAACCCTTCCCACCTACTCTTAGTTCTTTATTGTGTTGTGACTATGGGGGAGGAGGATGGAAAAAACAGACCTGCCTGGCTTCTAGAGTTCTCCAACATACTGAGCCCTGATTCCCAAGTCTGGACTTCACTACACAGAGAGGGCTTTTTCTGCAGACCCAGCTCCTGATGCTGCAGACGTTAAGGGAAATGTAGTCTCTTGTGTGTGATTCGAAGTTTCCATTCTTGAATAGAAATTAGACCCCCTTGGGTTCATAAAAACCATTGTCATAATGATAATGCTGGTAGCTGCCACTGGCCAAGCTCATGTTAAATACCAGTGTCTTCCACATATCATATTTGTAGGAATGACTTATCTGGACTTTTACCTAACCTTGCTACCAAAAAATGTTAGTTTATAATGAAACAAGCTCACTGAGCCATGTGTTCCTCTTATGACCTGGGCTCCTGATCTTAATACTCCAGGACCCCTACTTTATTCTCCATCCAAAATAATGAATGAATGTGGTTGTGCATGATTAACATCTCGGAGTGCTGGAAGCAGCATCTTTTTCTCATTGAAAACAGTGAGAAGAATTGAGAAGTAACTCTGAAATTGCCTCATCCTAGAGTTTCTGATCAGAGTGGATCCTAGCTTCTACTTCCCCAATTCATGCTGGAGGTACTGTTTCAATAACAGAATGAGGAAGCTTGGCTCAAGAGCACAGTTCCATGAAACAGGTGACGGAATGGGTACTGGCAGTTCATGTCCACTCTTGGCCTTAAAATGAATGCTAAGAGGTGGTTTCTTTTCTTTTTTTAACTTTGCATCTAAATATCTTTTAAAAAATTATTTAATAACCACATGATTAGAAGAAGCATTTCATTACATCATTAACATATTCAACAACAATTTCCAGAGCAAAGATGCATCTCTTTCAAAATTGGCTGTTAAATTTTTAGGCTCACAATTGAATTAATACAGTTATATATTATTGAACTCAGTATAAACCCTATAAGACATAAAATTGAATGAGATTTTAACCTTTAAAAAAGATCACCACTATATAGTTATACAATGTTGAACTCAGTATAAACCCTGTAAGACAAAGAATTGAATGAGGTTTTAACCTTTAAAAAAGATCTCCATTTCCTTTTAAAAAATATACTGTTTCATACAGAAAAACTCATTTTTAATGCTACTAACACTTAGATGTTTGCACATGCATTTCTAGTCTCTATGTATCTGATTATTACTAGTCACAATCAGTTACAGTCAAGGATCCTTGGCACCTGAGCATGGATATAAAGTCATCAGGTAGATTTCAATGGTAATGTTTTTCACCTCTACTAATTAACATGAAGCAAATTTTTTTTGCTTCTTCCTTAAATATAACTCATTTTTTTATTTGTTGTTTTTTTTGTACTTCATACATAACATCCCAAACAATCTTATTCGTCTATATACTCACATCGCAAATGGTACCCTCCCATAGCCTCCCCACCCATTGGAGCTCATATACTCTGTCATCCATGTTGCTGTCCACTGTGTTGTGAGTGCCCCCAGCTGTTCTCCAGTGCAAGTCGATCCACTGAGTCTAGTCAGCCTATCTAGAGTCCCTTGTTTCAGGAAGATCAGCTCTTCCTCATTTAGCAGCAATCAGTTGCCAATCTTAGCTAGCATTCCTTTAAATAAGATTGGGGTCTATTGTTCATTTTCCCAGTTCTATGCTGGGAGTCTCTTGGGCCACCCTGGCCAACAACTCAAAGGAAGGTATCTCCTGTCTGGCATTGTTTCTTGTTATGTAGCCTTTAGCTATACACATGGACTCTTAAAGTATTATATTCATCCCTTTAATCTTTGGTTATACTTTCCTTTTGGGTGTTTAAGATCATACAGTTGGCCCAGATAAAGCAATTTATTTTTACTCTTAAGGTCATTTGAGGATCTGTTCCTCAGGGGTCACATGGGCTTGGGAGGAGCCCTTGGCTCCTTTTTTTTTTTTTACTAGTTCTGCCTATGTGAAGATAAGTCAAAGGTCCTGCTTGACTGTGGATGGCTTCACTTGGAAGCATGGAGGAAATGTTTCCTCTGTGTTGACCTTCCTCTTTGTAGACTGGACACTGGTTCAAGTCCATTTGGTGGAGTCTCCACGGCCTCCTTGATCAAGAGGACAGGTGACTCACCACAGTTACAGGACATTTTGAGAGATGCTCATAGTCCCCTGGAACTTAGTCGACCTAGGAGGGCAAGGAGCAAAAGCTGTCCTTCATGTCCCTCTGACCAAATTAGTATATGCCTAAGAGGCTGTTTCTTTATTCAGGCATCACTATAATGTTGCTTAGAAATGCTGAACATATTTACAGTCTTCATTTAGGACTGGAAATGTGAAACCTATTATCTCAATTTTACAGATGAGGAAATTGAGACTCTAAGAAGTAAAAATACTTGTCCAGGACCATAGGTAGTAGGGGTCTGTCTTCATAGCCACTCTCCCTATTGGCTCCCTCAGCAAGGCTGTTATGTCCTCACAGAGATCTAGATCAGCAGTTCCCTAGCTGCCGCCAGGATTCTCCCAGGTACAATTATTCAGGCTACACCCATGAAATTCTGTTTTGGGGGTTCTAGGAAGGAAAGAGGGACTTGGGGCTAATTAAATGATTCTTATCATCAGAGAGTTTGAAAAACACAGTAGTCATATCCTTCATCCTACAGCTCTAAATAGTGACTCAGCCTGTACCCAATGTGTTTAAGATGAGAAGTCATAAGCTTTCTGCAGTCACTATCCCTATAAACTCCAAACGTAAGAAAATACAAGGCCCAAGTTGGGTAATAGCTCTACTTCCTACGGGCTTGCCTTGATTTCCTGGAGATTTAGGATGTGAGACATGGACTAATAAACCATAACTGGGATAATTGTTCTAAATCATCTGTTGGAGACTGGCTTTAGCAGATGCCAGCTGTGAAAAACAGCCCAAATAA